TATATATATATATATATTTCTCTTTCTCTATTTTGTGTGTGTGTGTGTGTGTGTAAATTTACTTAATTTTTACAGTTCTTTTACGTTTTATTTTATTTTTTCATTTCTTCTTCTTCGTTTATTATTTTTATTTAATCTGTCGTTATATTGTAGCCTACAGCATACTCCTGATCGATGACCACGTGATTAATCATGCCGATGAATTATCCGAAGAGTGTTTAAATTGCCTTGAAAACTCTGGTTACTCTTATGGAGGACTTAACGATTATCATCGTTTATGAAGTTTTTATATAACATTTTTCTTAACGCGTTCAGGTAAATCTATTTTGACGATCTAGTAAGTACTCAAGTGCTATTAACAATTCATTTAGAGACTCTTAGTTCTCTTATTCATCTTTCCTTCTTATTATTGTCAATAAACTGCCAAGCATTTTAATCCTTCTTGTTCAAGTTATCATCGCCGGTTCTAATTTCAAACTGATAAAAAAGTTTTCCCGATCCTCTCTATATCGAGCCTTCAACAGAAATTCTTTCGTGAACGAATGTACCGGGAACTGATATCCCTGAGCTCGTTTCTGACAATCTGCTAACCAAGTCGCGACTTGGAGAACACGTTTCATCCTTGGATCCATATCCCTTGATCTTTCCTTCCCTTTTTCACGAATTTTATTTCTCAAAACAGCGTTGTACCAACGATAGAAATATTTCCACGCTAAATCCTGTTCCCTCGTCGTCCACGTTAAATCCGTTCTTTCCTCGTAAATTGTCTTCTGATCTTTTTTATACCTTATTATCTTGGTTAAAAAGGAATTAAGGAGACTTTTGCCGGTGCTTTGCTTTTGTTCCGAATCCGGATTACTTTCCAATGGTATATCCTTATTTATGTTAATGAAATTGCTTGAAGGATTTGTCCTATCATTTGTGTGGATAACATTATTATATTGTTGGTGATATTCCGGATTATTCAGATGCAGAACTCTCGACAGAAGATGAGCCACGTGTGGCATACAAGGTGGATTTTTTTCAACTTTAGTCCAAGCCCGTCGGTATGTCAAAGTACACGGGTCCTTGTAAATCTTGCAAAATCTCTCCATAATTTCGTATCTGTATGATCGAAACATTTGGTTGAACATGCAGAAGCGTTTATAATGGAGAATTAGTAAAATAGCTACACAGATATTATACTACCTATTAGCATGATGAATACGCAAGTAATCCCAAGTAGTTCGCAGTCTGAAGATCGGAGGCGACTGCAATCCTGCCAAGATCGATCTACACGAGTGGAAGTTCCCCATGGCGAAACACTTTCTGGCAGCGTTTATTAGCCTCGCGACAATCCTGCCTCTCATAGCTAACTTCTTCACGCCCAAAATTTCACTGCCGACTAGACAAGAAATTCGATGACTGAATGCTATCCACGCAGCTAAATTAGGAGCATTTCTAGAGCTTCTTTGAAAGACCAAAATCTCGATTTCATCTGCAGGAATTCGAACGAACAGGTCGCGATCGATGAGCGTCAACTGCGTCGCTAGAGTATCGCTGTTTATATCCCAAATCGTTATCCTGAAATCCATTCTCAATAATCTTCTCAATTGAATGGTGGTACGATTCTCTTGGCTTTCGAATTTCCTCTTTCTCCTGCAAGATCCATTCCCCGAAAAAATCCGTTCTAGGAAGCTAGGTTTCTCTTCAGGGATAATGACGGAATCCTCTTCGCATTGGCACTTCTTTTTCCTAGAGAACAATTTTCTTTTCGATGGCCGTTCCTTCTCTTGGCGAAAATTCCTCAGTTGGTTCAAGTGTCGTCTTAGCTCCCTGTTGTAGAATTGATTGTAATTAATTGATTATTCATTTTCGTTTCAAATGCTGCGATTTCAGATCCAATTTTCTAACTATGATCTTACTTCTAGTTATTACCTGTAAGCTGTAGATGCCGGTCTAGGACGATACCAGTATTCTGGCGTCCAAAATAACACAACTCGTCTCTTCGCAGTAGTACCGATCGACCCAAACCTGCCATACTGAAGTTCAGTATATGAAATGCTAGCTGCCAATTGACGACGAGATACAGGAAGCTTCAATTCTGAGTCAACAGGTTGTCGTCGAATGGTGACCAGACTGAAGGATCTTCGACCTTGAAGAGTGGTTCTTTCACCAGGTTGCACTGACCAGGGACCAAAGGCGTAAAGAAAATGAGGCGCGCTGCACAGGCCGTATCTTCTAAAGTGTTGAAAATGTTTCGAGGATTTGCTTTCACCTCTCTCTTCGCCCTCCCAGACTTTCACGGCATTTTCCATGAGCACGTAAATATTGAACACAGGTTTCACACCAAATCTCACTGAGAAGCTATTCGGTTCCCTGTGGATTGGACCAAGAACCAACCCCGAATGACACTTCTCTGGAACTCCAAAACCAAATCGAGATATCCGCCCCGTCAACGATTTCTTACATTTTGATTCCTCGTGAAGTTCCTTCTTCGCGAACGCTTCGTCCAATGTTCCTTCGTCGTGCCGAACGGTTCGTCGTTTCTCGCTAATTTTGTCTTGAAAAATTTTTTCTCTCAAAGGACAAGCTTGACAGGTCGCGTAGAATTTGGTCGTATTGTAATGTTTGCGACTGCGATCTCTGATGAACAGCACGTCGCAAAGGCCATCGCTCTTGTGTTTCTCTTTGAAACAGCGACACGTAGGCCAACTGCGACAGCCTTTATCGACAGCTTGACTCGGAGAGAAATCTTTTAATTCATCCTGAATGTCTTCCAAACTGGCGCCAGCGAATCTTACAGGGATCGGGGTGTATTGGCCATCTGCCAGCTCGGTGTAAGATGGTCCGAGGTACAAGTCCTTTTGACGCCACGTGGCAGATGTATAATCACCAGCGCCTCCATAGTGAGTCCATACTCTGTATTCAATTAGAAAATACATTACGATAAGGGCTCGCTGTGAATGGACTCAAATATCAAGTATCAAGCAAGAATCACCTGCACACTGCTCTTCCTCCATTTCTTCTGAAACCTTCCCGAATCTCAATCTCCGATGAAAGGACGTATAAAGTCGAACTGCTCGCTGAACTTGCAGCGGTTGTTTCCGATAACGAGCTTCCGTTCATCCTGTTCGCGAGCAAACTTTCCACCTGTTCGCACCATCTTTTCCAGAGAACGTGTCTCCTGTGTATTCCACCGAGTTCGTAATAGCTTACTCTTCCATCGACGAATCTAATGATTTTTAGTGCTGGTTAAAACGTTATTCGACAAGTAAATCTTGCTCGTTGCCGGAAACATAGAAAGAGCAGCGAAACGGTAAACGAAAAAGTAGTTAACTTTTGATCGATTATCTTTGTACATTGTGTGTTTCGTTATTTCTTGATAAATTTCTACCTTGCCTTTAAGGTTTTGCGACGTCTTCTGTTGAACACGCTCAAACTAACGCATCGCAGCGGGTACAGAGAAATAAGCTCGAAGCTTTCGATGCTAGGATCGACTGCACGCGGACAGAAACATTGCGAGTTCCCTCTGAAAACGTCAGCCGCCACAATTAACTTGGATGGCATGAGACCAAGAGAAACCTGTCGAATTCCACGGCCATTTCTGGTAGTTTCGGCAAACGGAGATTCCACGAGAATTGCATCAGAAAAGTCAGAGTACTCGGTTGCCAATAATCTTTGAATTCTGTTCTCTTCTATCTCCAAGTTCCTCGTCTGATGACGGAATTTGTTTTTACATACTGGGTGCATAGAGAGTCGAATTTTTATTATAAAAATATACAGAACGAAGAACTGTCTAATTGTGTCATCTGCGTGATTTCAGCAGCACCGATGAATTTTTTTTTCGGAGGAATGACCGATTTGTGCAACGAGTTCGTTCGCGAGAGGTTAATTACTTTTGAACGAATCTGTCGTTGAAACGAAGTTGCATTTCTGTTAGGGTACGTTTATAATTTTCCTCAGTTTTAATAGAGCGCTGATGCTTGAAGTTGTATGAAAGTGAAATCATTGTAATACAGTAGAATCTCGATTATCTGAACTAGTTGTAATACATGTCAGTTCGAATAATTTCGTTTTCAGTTGAAGAGAAAATCGCATATTTTGAAATGCATTATAAAAGTGAACGGATTAAACGGAAACAATTCGAGTAAAGACCAGGGATAAAATTTTCACAACAGGATCATCATACTACTAGGAAGAAAGTGAAGAAACAGTCCAGTTCCATTAGGTATCATCGTTTTTATTTTTCAGTTCAACGCCTCCATCGAATCTTACGACCCGTACATTAGTCGACGACGGAGGAGACTAAGCTTCTTTTTAAAGACTCGGGCCTACGTGGTAAAAGGTTTCGCAGCGCCTGTCATTTCGGTTAGTTATAGGTATTTTAGCCTTTTTTTTTTTTTTTTTTTTTTTTTTACTCCTTACTCGCTATAATACGATAATAAATAACATATAAAAAAAGACATACAGGTAAAAGACGTAAAAAAGAAGCTCACCAATAGGGGGAGCGCTCTTTCATCTAGAATGAAAAATCGATGTAAGTTCAAAAGAGCGTGCAAAAATGTACAAAGTGGAAGAGGTACATGGTGGACTCCTAAAACGGTTCGTTTTGACTTATACTTTTTTTTTGTTTTTTCTTTTTTATAAACGGAAGCTAGCTTTTTATCGATTATTATGTTCCGGGTTCACTTTGATGGTGACTTTGTTGTTCAGAGCGGACGCGAGCTTCTCGACGTTACTCTGTGGCAACTTTCCCGGCTCTGGGTTCGTTGTCTCGTTGTTGGACACAGCTGAGTTCTCGGGGATCGTTTTAATATTTGACTGTGCTTCCTGAAACAAAAGTAGCAAAATTACTCTTCGGTTAAAAATAGTTTATTCTATATACCATCACCTTGAGATATTCTTCTTCGCCTTATATGCAATTACGCTGATTAGCGGCAAACGTGCAATTAACATAATTTGTACCTTTATCGGTTGTTGTTTTATGCCCGGGGACATAATTGACTCTCCAAGTATCGTGCTTATCTTCCAACGACTTAAT